TTGAAAAATGCCTCTGCTTTTCTTTAAAAAGCAATAGCATGGAATTTGCTAGTAGGGAAAAAAATAGATTATTACATTATCAAATTTTGGGAGCTATACTGCACTTTATCTCCTGAAGTTAAAAGAAAATTTAAAATGTTATTCAGACTTGACAAAAGATAGTGAGGAATAAAGCCAAAGATATCAAATCTCTATTCGATCAACTAAAATTTCAAACAATAAAGAATCCAACTATCTAACTAAGAGTGGAAAAACAAAACATTCAATGATAAACTAAAATATTGTCATTTAAAATCATAAAGATGTGTTCAAATATAATAAGAACATTGTATTCTTAGGAAAAAAAGATTTGCCACTTGGGTTAGAGAAAAGGGAACTTAAATCACTTCTTGCATTCAAAAAAATGCAAAATCTACTTTGTGAAACTTAATTTAAAATTTACTGAATATAATGAAGTAGTACAATGGGTTAAAAAGAGAGCTGTCTGAAAAACAAGGATTCCCATCTAACCAGTCTCAACTCATTTATTCAAAAACAAATCAAGACAAAAGAAAACAAAACTTTGAAAGATTTCCTAACCTGCAGGTGTGACAATCTCTCCAGCTGAGACCCAAACAAAATCCATAGCATTCCCAGAACAAATGCAATGACTCTGCCAGACCCACTGGCTCAGGTTTAGGGAGCAAACAATTCTTTCCTCATAAACCCATAAAAACTCAACTATGAACTTCAAAATTCCATGGTTGCTAAGTTATTAAATTAACCTGTCCAAATGAAGCTTTCAGATTACAGGCTATCTCAACTTTATCCTTTAGTAATCCATATGGAAAACACTTCAAATATATGAAAAAAATCAATGAAAACTCGATTAAGACTATACTTGCTTATGCAACTAACTGTCCTATAATAACTATTACAATGGAATGTACTTTATTTCACCATAAGACATCATGTTCAGTAAAGAAGTAAGACTCAGGAAGTAAATATTTTACCTTAAGAACTAGAAATAATCACACTGATTGCTTTACATAACAGTTTTGACCTATTATCACTGTTACATCATAAACATTTCTATTATCTACGGGGGCAAGTTTGAGATAGAAGTCCATCTAACATCACACAATTTGAATAGTAACAAGAGAAGTGATGAAGACAACTAAAACAACCCTCTTCCCCCCGCCTCACAAATTTCCTCAAGTTTTAAATTCCTTGTGATACAACATTATAACACTTTATATATAAAACAAATACAACTATCTTACTATGCATTTTGTGAAATGGTAATAACCTATATTTTTTCCTAATTGGTATAGACCTAACTTCTAAAACTAATAAATAATTTTTAGCATGACTTGTAAAAGCTGTCTTAAACTCATTAGTTTTATAAAAAAAAAAATATAATCCAATGATGTGGTACTCATTCTGGCATATTTGCAAGACTCTTAGAATACATGGGCCTGGAACTAATTTCCTCCTATCCTGGAAAACAAGAACAGCCATGTTTTGATTCAAGGTGAATACTTCTTTTTTGCCTTGAGTCTTCAGTGTCCATCTGCACAGTTGCTTTGAACTTGAATATTTCTCCAAATTTGTAGAATTCATTTAAAATCATAAAGATGTGTTCAAATATATTAAAAGGCAACATCTATGAAGAAGTTTGTTTATGTATGTATATAAATGTGTTTACACACCCAGCTGTCTAAAATAATGCAGTATTAATAGAAATATTCTGGATGATGCTTATCATTACTTTTGGTCCAGAAAATATTTTGGAGAAATCTGAGTTGATCTATAAGATGAAGCCAAATTAACATACAACTATACATGATAAATGAATTAAGTGATTGTCAGAGCATTAAATAGCAATTCAGTGGCAAAGTGTTGAGTCCCCAGAACCCTCCTCCCCAAATAGCACTCATGCAGTTAATGCACAAAGTTAGCAGCATTTCTTATGAGAACAGGATCAAGAACAAATTGGAGATATAGGTGAGGGAGATACGAAGTTAAAATTCTGCCAATACAAAATACACAAATTGTTTTTTATTTTTTCTTCTTTAAGTTCTCCACCAATCTTCAGTCAATAAGAGACAATCCAGCAGATCTGGCTATTTCTAGAAATATAGATATGAAGTATGTAAACCTGGCCCTAGTACAGTTTTTCAAACAATGTTGGGTTCAAGTTCAGAGTCAAAAGCATAATTATAAATAATTTATATCCAAAGGCTAGTTTCATTCTATTTGTCAGTTCAATTAGAAAATGATGAACACAAAAATAGAAGAGACAGACTTACACTGGGGGAGACACGGCATCCTTTTAAGCACAGAATGCAAGCTCTCATCTGTGTTCTTTATGCAACTGAGCTAACATAATTACGCTAAGAATAACAGACAGCAACCTGAAGGACAGGCTCCATAGTACTAACCAAATTCAAGAAGCTATAACCAAATCTCATTTTACTAATTATGTGTTGTTAGGTATTTCCAAATTCAATTTGTTACTTTTGTTTGTTTGTTTGTTTGTTTCAGCATTCCTGGATAGCTAGTTAGGGGAAATAATCCCTTAAATTATTAGGCCAACTGTTTTCTCAGAGGAAACATTTGGTAAACATTGTGAATTCTAAACCGCTATTAGAAGTTCCATTTCATAACAGTTTATTCTTACCCAGTAAAGTATTCCAATTCTAATTCCAAAAACTAATATGCAAGGCAACCAAAGAGCCTGTCTAAATTTCTTGGTGGTTAATGTTAATTCTGAGTCAAAGCAAAGCAGAGTGTCACACAATTGTTTTGAAAGAGTTTCTCAGGCTTTGCCTTAGTAATTAATAAGCTGACACTGCATACTAAATACTTATCAACAGAATCAATGGGGCTGCTTCCTTCTTGAGAAAATAGGTAAAACGATTCAAGGAGTTTTCTTTAGAAATAGACTGTAATATGTCACAAATGTAGTGGTTCTTTTGGAGAATTTCATTCCCAGCAGTTTCAGCTTGGTAACATTTAACAATTTCACTATTTTAACATTTTGAAATGCCAAAAAGAACACACTGATCCTGCAGCTAGGCTTATTAGAGAAGAGCAATCTCACAGGCAAGACGGAGAAGAACATAGTCCACTGGGAAAAGGGTAACAGAAAAAGACAGAAAACAGTGGATAACAAACAAAGCCAAGCACTACTCCAATGTGAGATCTGATTTTCACCAGAATTGAAAACTTTGCACACTAAATTAAATATCACCTATGACTTAATTAAAGCTCTAGTTACAATATACATTTATAGATACATATTGATGCTATTAAAATTCAGGGTATAAATATCTAATTTTCCTCCCTAACAATGAGTATGCAAGCATAGTAATTTTATTTTTGAAGGGTCATAACTGAGCATTTCCACCCTGTGGCATTATTTTACCCTCCTGTAGGCATAGAAACACAATGAGACCTCTCTCCATTAGACACTTGATACATACCTCAGCCAAGAGTATTCCTCGCCTGGTGTGGGAGACATCTTTGAAACAAAAAGAGTCCATTTACAGTAAGTTCTCCTGATAATCTAATACACATTAGTTTTTTAAAACATGCTCAACATGAAGCCTCTTGCCCAACTAAGGTAACTGTTATTATACCTGCAAATAACTGCCTGCAATGTGCAATGTTTTAAACATTCTGGTGGTGCATGCATTCTGTTCATGTATGAATATAATCAGAAAATTATTTGCTTTCTTAAGAAACTATACCTGGCCTTTTATTTTGATAAAATTGCTCTTAACTGAGTTAAGAGTGTGGGGGAGGGGGAAAGAGTAGCAGGAAGAAAAGGGACAGAGAAAAATCAATCCGTATATCTTCCCTTGCAAACTGTCAGGAGGGTAGGATTAGAAAAGCAACACTTTAAATCAGATAAAGTCCTATGGGAACCTTAAGGTTGGTTACTGTGAGCTTCTCAATATTCTGCAAAATAGATTGATGTCAGTAGTGACCCCTCTGATATTCAATGTCCACTGAGTTTCCTCTAAGAAATTGCATTTCCCCCATTGTTCAAAAGATATTAACTTGGTAATAAAATGAGAAGTTAGAGGACCCACAGAAATATCTTTCAACACTTTTAAAACCACTAAACCTGCTCTAAAATCTTATTAGAGTAAATGCTCAAGGAAGGTTAATAGACCAAGAGATAAACAAAGGCAGGATTGGCTCTTATTTGGAAGAAAATTTTTAAAATCAAAGGCAAAATGTTTAATAGGTTACTATTTTTTCCTCACCTGTTCAGTTTAAAACCTTTGAGAGATAATGTATTAAAATTAGAATCATGCATATTGCTTTCAAACTTTCAAATGATCAAACGACACCTTTTCACGTCTATCACAGCAAACATTTGCATTCGGGAGTGATCCATTTGTGATTTGTGAACCTTATCAAAAATGCAACATCAACTTTATTCATCTAATGGCTAGCTCTGAGTTAAATGGTTCTATCTACATTTAAATACTAAATACTATGCTCTTTTTTTCTCCTAGAAGTGGCTTCTATAGCTTTTTTTTTCCTATGTCAAAAGTTTATTATTTGACATACATTTCTTTACATGACATTTAATATTTTATTTAGTCGGTTTTTACGTTTGATGCAGAGATTGATGTTATTTCTCTGGGAATATTTCATTGCTGATAAGGTTTATAGACATTAAGCATCAATTCAAGCGCCTGTTTTTCAAACATGCACAATTACACATTTTCTACAAACAGACATCAGTGCATACAGAGAGCCAGGTGCACACACATCCAATAAATAGTAAATGGTAGAAACCTCCAGAAGTAGCACAGACAACAGTTAGCAGTCTGAGGCTATACACCTAAGTAAACACCGACACACGGTTCCCTCTCCCAGAATAAGAACTCCACGAAGGACACTTGGGGGCTGGTACCCAAGTGGTCAGGACACAGTGGTCAGTACCCAAAGGGGCAGGAGGCGGAAAAAGTATTTCCAAACACAACTCTGCCAGGTCTTACCCTTCGCATCCCCTGATCCTCAGGGCAGAAGCTCCCTCAGCACCTCTCGCCCAGCTCAGGGGTAGGTTCTCCGCTAGAAGGAAGCGTCCCCCCTGACTCTATGGAGAGCTCTGCAGGGAGTCGAGGCGCCCCGCCTGGGCCAGGGGAAAGCACAGGCGCCGCGGGAGCCTAGAAGAAGCGGAGGCGGAAAAGAAGTGGAGAAGGAAGGGGTGGCTGAGGGAGTAGCGTGGGGGAGGTAGCGCCGGCGGGGTGGAGCGGGGTGTGCCTCCAGCGGTCGGTCAGTAAGTCAGTCGGTCCGCGCGCCGGCGTCCCCTGCCTCCAGCGCCCGCCCGCGACAACAACGCGGACTGGCGCCCCCTCTGCTCCGGCTGCCACTGAGCCTCGCCCCTTTCTCGGGCTCTTCACTGGGTCCTCCCGCTGGCCCCGCCTGGCCCGGCGTGGGGCCGCCGGTCTCCGCCAGCCTGAGCGCCCGTCGCCTCGCCCTGCTCGCGTGGTCCCTGCCTCTCCCTCCGCTCGCGCTCTGCCTCTGGCTCCCTCTCAGTCCCATTTATGAAGCGCGGTCCCATCACGTGTTAATGAGCCTTTGTCCTGCCCTGGCAGCGGCGGCGGCACAGACTCCGCCGAGGGAACTGCGCGGGGAGGGACCCGCGCGCGGCGCCTGCGGCTCCAAACTTTGCTGGCGCGGGGTACCCGCGGTGACACTGGCCTCGAGGCCAAAGGGACTAGCCTTTCCCTCTGGCGTCACCTACTTCTCTTCCTCCCCCTCCTCGTCGCTCCTTCGTTGCCACAGCGCTCCCGGGGGACCCCGCGGCCATGACCCCTCTCTCCTCCCGGATACCCTCACACCCTGGCCGAGCCAAAAAGGGGCTCGTGCCTGAGCCGCCCCCGACCTCTGGGCCATTAATCACGCACGCCCGGGCTGCGCGCAGCACCAACACCTTGCGCGGAGGTCACGTCTGGGGCAGCGGGTTTAGCCACAAGGGGAAAAGGAGCAAGAGGGGAGAAGCCGAGGCACGCCGAACCCGGGGGTGCGGCCTCGGGCTCCTCTCCCTCTACCTTAGGCCGCCCCCGCGGCGGGCCGCAGCGAGCCGGGCCCGGGGATAAGCCAAGCCTTGGGACCGCGCCGCACAGCCCCCGAGCCGTTTGCTACCTGGCTGCGGCTGCGGGGCCACCTGTCCTCCGCCCCCGGAACACCGCCTGGTTTCGCGCTGGGCGCCTTCTGCAGCCCCCGCCGCTCCCGCCCAGCGCGACCACTCCGGCGTGCCCCACCCGCCTGTCCCCGGCTGCAAACAGTTGGGCTCCGTAGGCGGCTGGCTCCGCGCCTCCTTGCCCGGTGCGCCCCCTCCCCAGCCACCCGGGGCCCCACTCCTCGCACCTTCTTGCTGGAGGAGGACGCACCCCTCCAGGGCCTGGCAGGGGAGCCTCTCGGGGTTCGGGGGTGGCCGTCACGGGCGCCTGGGGATCCGCGGTGCGCCCGGCGGCCGCAGCAGAAATTAGGGGACATGCTCGTTAATTGGTTCCACTATCAGCCGCCGTCTGCCTCCCGTGTGCACGGATCAAACCTTAATTGGTCTTTACATTTATCATGGTGAATTGCGAACCTACAAACAAACCCCAGCCGCGGCTTCAGCCGAGATCGGCGCTTCTCCTCCCGCTTCCCGGGTCTCGGACAGGGTTGTGGCGGCCGCGGCCGTGCTTATTTAGATATCTTGATCTCTCGTAAGTTGGGTAAGACAGAACTGCGCGGTTTCCACCTGATGGAGCCACTTCACTTCGGCCCCAGGGGCCCTGCCAAGGGCAGTTGGTTCGGTTTCCTGTTCTCCTATTCGCGGCGCGTTCATCTTATGACATCTTGCAAAGAAGTCTAGCCCAGAGGGCATCCCTCACCGCACTCTTAAAAAAGAGCGACCTCCACTGTCCTACCCCAACCCAGAGTCCAACAGCAATGATAACGTGTCTGGGCCCATATCTTGGACTACGTGACAAGAATCGAGCCTCTCAAGGAAAGAAGGAACATTGGTGGACAGGAAGCAGCAGACTGGGTGGTTCAAGGACTTAGAGGAGGGAAGGCTGAAATCGCTTTGGAAACAACAGGCCAAGGCTAGAAAGGCTTTTTTTGCACAACTCTAGTTCTGTCTCTGAAAATCCCCCTGGATTGCTTTAGGTTAGAAAACGTATTTCCCATGTGCCTTTTGGAGAACTGTCCATTTGTGAGGGTCCATAGCTGAAAGATCAAGTTCTACTAAGTAGTTAGAAGGAATACCATTTACAAATAAAGATCTGAGGGACCCATCAATATGTAGACAAATGTTTGAGAGATGTGTGGATACGTGTGGAATTCCTGATGGACCTTAAACCTGCTGCTAATTTAGGGACAGACTCTACTCTGTCATCTCTAACCCACCCCAGCACAGAGACAACTTTCTGGAGATTTAAAGGGAGGGGAAGGAAGCATCAACATTATTTGACTTTCTTTTTTTCTTTTGGTTGTTTTTACCCTCACCTCAAACCCCTGGCAGAAGGAAACATTTGCGAATTTTTGTGACTTCCCAAGAGTCTTGACAAGAAATAACTGCAAAATCCCTCCACTGCTTGGCAGTACAGGTTCAAACAACGGACTGGTGGTTAAAAGAAAGGATCTAGTCAACTGACTCTCGCTGTGACAGAGACATCTTTCAGTCTCAGAATAAGCTGGAGGTGCTGGGTTCCTCCAGCTTCCCAGTAACAGGATTTCACATGGATGCTGGATTTCCCACCTACATAGCTGGGCTGTGTATGCACTTGGAGAGGCACAGCTGTCTAACAGCACTTAGATACACAACACTGACTGCCCTGGTAGTGCCCCTTAGGACATTCTCCCACAGTAATATACCCTCTTGCTGGTCAACATCATATCTGAAAGTGAGAACCATTTACAACCTGTGGAAGGTATTCCTTGGAAATTTCATATCTCAACTCATCCAACACCAACTTTTGCTTTTTAATAAAGAGGAACAATCTGATTATCATTCCGAATAGAGACACTTTATAGCGACCAATAGTGAGGGCATTTTTTTCCCCACTGAATCCAAAGAAATTCCAAGCAGAAATCTTGGATCTGACTACCTGAAAGTCTGTTCGTTGATTGGCTGAAGTGACTGGTGGACTAAGTCAATCATTAATTATCTGATCAAGGAGTGACTCTAGTAGCGATAACTATTTAGCTTGTTATTCTGTTGACAGAAATTGGAGTAAGACTGGAGTCTGACAGCTGGAGAATTGTACTGAGTTTCCATTTAGAGCCTAAGAATAATGCTCAGTAAAGGAGTCAAAATTTGGCTTGTGACCTGGCATTTTATCACCATAAGTGAATGCTTTATTAAAAATGGGAGATTTAGGTTGTTTGGAAAATACTGTTCTGGTGCTTTTGAATTTCACCTGTTCTAGGCTCATCAGATATTAAATTGATAGTTGAAGAACTTCTGTACTTTTCCCTTGGAGCTGGGGGAGCTGGAAGAGGAGTAGGCAGCAGACAGCATGAAGGCAAGATGCTCTTTAGTACTATGGACTTCACATTTTGCAAGTATCACCTTTCTATGAAAGGAAATGATTTATTTTCCACATGTGTCTGGCCATCTACAGTTACTTTTGAGAGAATCAGTAAGAATGACAAATGCAAGCTGTCAGCATCCCTATTGGGAACATTATGTTAAGGACACATAAATTTTACACAAAATGTTAAAATGGTCCTTGGTCACTACAAACCTAGGCTGAATTTGAACCCATGACTTTGTGGGAAAAGACCCTGGCAGCCCCTTAACAGGCTTTATTAGTTCCTTCAGTGCTAGGCTGTCTGGATTTTCAGATCTTTATCCTTTTAAAATTAGAACAGGACTATGATGAGCCAATTACTGCCGTTCTGTGTAATTTAGGTTGTTCACTCAGTGAAATATAGAGAACGAGAGCACAGTTAAGACTGCATATTTCAACTTCAAAGAAAGATATCAATTGATGACTGCCAGTATGTTTGTAGTTATACTGGACAGAGAACGTTAGAAGAGCATCTGCCTCCGTGAGATAGCTGTTGATCCGAAAAGAGCCCTTCAAGGTTTCTTGTTTTACTTGTTATGGTGTCGTGCCTCTCTCTCACTCCCCAAAGAGGTGAGTAATGATCCCCTGGCTTACAAACTGGTGAAGTAAAAAACATCATTCTCCTTTAGAGTTTTGGCCCAAGTTTGGCCCTTATGTTGAATTAGACATTTTTAATGGGATGCTCACACCATCGGGATGAAATGCTCACTGATGAATGACATTTTTGGAATGATATTTCAACGACACGATTTTACTTTAATTCCAAGCATTGCTCTGGAATTTCAACAGCTGTTATTAGCTCTCTTTTAAAACCATAAAGCATTTGTGTTTGCAGTGGTTGTGCCTTGCTCCATGGGAATTGGCTTCTTCATTCTTCATCTGAAGGGTAAGTGTCCCTGTGTCTGCATCTGCAGACCACCTGGGCTCTGTCAGCACAGCGTGAGGTCTCAAATGCCCGCTCTGAGGATGCTCCACCAGTGACACAAGCAACCTACTAAATCTCCCACTCCATCCCTGCATGCTTGTTAAGAACCCCAAGCCGGTGATGAAAGAGGAGAGTCTTTTTCACTTCACCGTTAGAAATTAAACTTCATGAAGCTGTCTTCAAGTGGAGAAGCTGGTTGCCAGGATGGGAAATGAAGGAATGAGGTGAGAAAGGAAGGACAAGGCACTTCTTTGACCTTGGGGGACACTGTGTTATATTAGGCACAAAGAAAATCACTCCTGCTCCTCAGTGATCTTTCCATACAACTAAACACATGCTCATTAGGGCTTTTTTTTTCTCTCTCTCTCTCTTTTTCTTCACCTTCTCACCTTCTTTCATTAAACCTCAATCTTTAACATCCCAGCTGAGCAGCGGCAGAGAAGGCTGAGAAATGACAGGAAGGCATTTTTCCTTTGTTCATATGTTTCATTTTGTTTTTCGTCACCAAGCAGAGGGTCGGTAATGAGGAGATGGATCATCCTTTCATTTCAAACCATATGAGGAGTATGTTCTAACAGATAATAAACAAGCGCATGGTGCAAGTAATGAGGGTGAGAAAACAGGTTAACAAAGCTTTTGTTCCCCCTGGATTAAATTTATAAACTAGTCATCAACACTCCATAATTAAAAAGGCTAAAACATTGCATATCCAAATATTTCTTCTTATTCTTCTTCTTCTCCCTCTCCTCCTCCTCCTCCTCCTCCTCCTCCTCCTCCCCCTCCTCCTCCTCCTCTTCCTCCTCCTCCTCCTCCTCCTCCTCCTCCTCCTCCTCCTCCTCCTCTTCCTCCTCCTCCTCCTCCTCTTCTTGTAAAAGATAGGGCAAGTTGCAGTAATATAATGTCAAAATACAGCAAGTAATAGAAAAATAGTACTAAAATATATATATTTCTTAATAGTCACTTGGTTTCCTCATGAAAAATTCTCTTCCTAGTGTTCTTTATAGTTTGTTTCAACTTCTGGTAGAAACTTTGA